ATCACAATTCAACATGCTAGTTTGGGACGTGAATATTGATACCAATCAAAACACCAACACCACTAAACATCAAAACTCAAACAGACGGATGTGATATGCAATGCCTCTCCCCAATGACCCCTAGACATAGCAATGCAAGTAATGTCAAATAGTGAAAACATGTGCATGCAAAATGCAGTCGCTCTCCTATGTGTATGCTCTCATTTTCCATTTTCTCCCCCTCAGTATATACATTTTCTCTCCTCAATTTTGTCACAAATGCTGAAGGGTCTCATATGAAAATCAAGATGAGCAATAACACATCAAAGTGCAGTTGACAGCATGCAACATCAAAATTGACAATTAGTATACCTCCCCACATACTCAAGTCAGACTAGAATGGAGTAAAAAGTACAAATGACTCGTGTATAAAGTGTCACTAATCCAATGTAAGCAGGACTCCAAACCTTAATTTTGTGAGAAGTGATATGCCAATCACTGCCAATAAGTATATTCTTCTACTAATGAAAGTCAAACAATGTAACGTGTTGTAGGACCTATATTTATTATTTTTACTTATCTCCTCCTTACTATGAGCTTATATGTTTTTCAATTTTTTCAGCTCTCCATATTTTTCTCATTTTTTCAGCTCATTAGTTTTTCATCTTAAGTGCATGTTCTTCTCCATTAGACGAGACTAAGATGACCTCTATAGCGAGCTTTAAGCCGATTAACACAAGTCAGTTGACCATAGACACCAAATTTTAAGAGACTCCACAGGCTTAATTGCTCGAGTCAAATAGGCCTTGGAGAAGAACATTAAGATATGAGTTTTTATGTACTGGGGAAAATTTTTGGGTTAAGGTCTACAAAAATATGGTGAATTCATGTTCGCAGTCACCCCATCAACACATTGATATGATCTAGAGTGGGCCGCATAAAAATAAATTTGGAAGAAAATATTTCCTTTCGCGACAAGTTTTATTTCCATTCGAATTTTATCTTTTTTTGGTAACTTTCATGTTTTAGGAGATTTAATCATGTTTTAATTATTCTCTCGAATTTCTGATGTGAATCTGTGTAGGCAAACGCTACAGAATCCACAAACAATATTGAAATCTTCCCAAGAAAGCCAAAGTAAGGTTTTAGATTAAATTCAATCGATCTTGAACCAAGCAACCATAATCGTCGACGATGTGCAGACCTCTTGATTACACAAAACTATAGAATCTCACTCATATGATTTGAACGCCACAAGATTGAATCTTTATAAGTTCGATAAAATTGTCCCATCCAGAGCAACAATTTTGAAGGAAAGCTCCTAGAGAAAATTCTGTAATTTTTCGTAATAAAAGTCTTGAGTACAATGAAGAAATAAATCCTATTTATACTAAAACTAGGAAACTAATTAAAATTGGAAAAGACTCCTAAAATATGGAAAACACGAAATTAAGGCTCCTAGAATAAAGAAAATTACCAAAATTAAAGAATCCTAGCTACATTAAAATACTCGTGAAAAAGGAAGGAATCTTTTCCGAAATATCTCTATGCGTTAAATTAATGGAAATTTCTACCCCCTTAGATCACACTAGATCCTTTCTCTTCGAAAGGATTCGTCCTCGAATCCTGCTCCAAGTTGTAACCCTTGCTTCCAACCAATGCAAGTACATGAAATGGTCCATCGCCTCGTGGATGTAGTTAGGACCACTTTTGAACTCGAACTCGCCGCCTTCAGCTGTAAACCCAGTCACCTTCACCTAGATCAAATGTGCTCGCCTTGATTGCTTAATTCCGCAAGTTGGAATTGCTCCAATAACAATCACGTATGATGAATAACCATGTAGTCCACTTTCTTAACTTAGCCCAAGCACTTGAGATACTCCCAAAACAAATTCATGTGATGAGTCACTGTGCGTTTTCCTTGATCTACTCGGCCTAGGCAATTGTAATGAGGTCATCCCCAAAGAATCCATATTTCCAGCATATCGACCTTGCCATTGAATCCAAAGCATATAAACTACATGCTCATCAATTGCTTCCATTGCCTTTGAAACTCTATCACTCCTTCAGGGATTACAAACTCGACCTCTGGTATTAAAGACATTTCCATCCTAGGATGTTGTTGTTGAATGTCATCCACTATTTGATAATCAATGCCCGAGTTGTAAAGGATTCGAATCTGATTAATTTCTAGAGTCGAATCTTCGTTAACCTACAAAATAAAATTAGCAAAAATAGGGAGAGAATTGTTAATTATTGCCAGTGCCACTTCAACTCCACTCTCCTTTTCATTTAAGCCCACCTCCAACATTTTTTTCACCTCCGAAGACTCTTTTTCAATTTCATCCCGTAACTCCAATTCCAATTTAATCGCTTCGCCCTGTTCACCCTCAATATTCATTCTACTCTCCTGCGGCTTTTCTCCTTTTTCCTCACAACTAATCACCTCACTATTTTCTATCTTGCTTTCCCGTCCCTTTGGCTGATTAATTTGAGATTTAACCTTGTCAAAGCCCTGATATTTCTAATTTGAAATCTCGACTTGTCAACTCACTCGATGTACTACGCACATGCTTCGCACTAGGTGTTTTCTTCTTCCTTGGATACTCAATCCCATAAGACCTTCTAGGCACCTCCCTAAATTCCCGCTCATGTCGATAACTCCTATAATAATTTGGCGCATATCATCTCCTCATAATATCTATCAACTCGTCCCAAGTCTCAATACACCTCTCACCATTCCTTCGCCTAGATTTCATAAACTCATCCACCAAGTTATTGCATAATCTATGAATGAGCTCTCAACCAACTTCAATTCTTTCTCCTCGGAACAATCATGGCACTCAAACACTAATTGAACCATTTTTTCCTACGCCACCTATGCCTCGGGGTCTCTCCTACCCTTAAATTTTGGAATTATCGTTTTCATACCCCCATTAACACCATATCCATAATAATTCCTATCCCTTTCTCCAAATCTTTCCCATCATGCATCCTGCCTATCAATAACAATAATAATTAAAAAAAAAAATTTTAACTCGAATTTTTTTTTACTGTGAACAGATGAATAGTATTTTTTAAAATTTTTTTTCTCTTGGGATAAATAAATCAAAGACAAAGTTGATACAATAAACGAAAGTTGATTTGGATGCAAATTGAATCCAAAAACAACTTTTGAATTTTTTTTGGATTAAAGACTCAAAAATAACAACTGACTCGAAGAACGTGAAGAACAATAAAGAAAGACAGCTGGCTCAACAAAAGAAATTAAAAAGGGGTATAATCTTGGATTGGAGCCAAGCTCTGATACCAACTGATGCGAACCCACATAGGCAAACGCTACGGAACCCACAAACAAGATTGAAATCTTTTCAAGAAAGCCAAAGCATGATTTTGGATTAAATTCAATAGATCTGAAACCAAACAACCCGAATCGCCGACGATGTCACTACAAGAAATATATACTTTCCCTACAAAAATTCTTGAGACAAATTGAAATTTGTGGGCAGAATTCACTTTTCCCTACAAAAAGACAGTTCATATGGCTATGATTTGATTCAAAGTTTTTAATAGTGGAAGGACTTGTGTCCACAAAAAATTATATTTTTTCCCGACAATAAAATTTGAAGAGTAAGATATATCTTTATCCTACAAAAATATCAAACATATTTCTAGACTAATAATTAAAGAAAGAAATCTCAATTACTGTTTTTAATTTTAATCCCCACAAAATATATATTTGAAATTAAAAGATAAGTAAAATGAAAAAAAGGAATTATTATTATTATTTTTAAACAAAATCCAAAAATAAAAGCCCTCAACACCCACTTAATATACCCGTTTCTCTTTTACGTCCAAAGGTTTTCCCCAAAATTGTCATTTCCTCTAAAGTTTCCCCAAAAAATTTTCACCCAAAATTATTCATCCCCTCCCTTTGTTTCATCTAGTTAATTGGCCCAAACATAGTTCAAATTCTCCAGTTGATGTGAATTTTGACTTCATCTACAGATTTATGTGATATTCTTCAATCTGTATCCCAGGTACACTCTGCAGAACCCAGTAGAAGAATCCTTTTTACGGCATTCAAGTTGGAAAATGAAAACCATTCCCTTCCCTTGAAAAATCAAAACCCATTCTATTTGATTTCAGCCTCTAGCGATTCCGTTCAAATGCTGTTGTCGATTCCGTTCAGATGCTGTTGCTGGCGCTGCCTGCTACGATTCCGATTCTGCTGCTTACGATTCCATTGTTACTAGTTCGCCACCTCCAGTTGATTCCTCCACTAGTCTGCCATCGTTTCATTCGTCAAAGTTCAAACCTTAGCCCAAAGGTCAGTAAGACTCTTATTGCTTTGTTTTCTCTTGGATTAGAAAGATTTGCAAGACTTCTATTTTTTTTCACCTGGATTTACAAATTTAGCTTCTAAAAATCAAGTTCAATGGTAGGATCTTGCATTACTCAAGCAAAATTTAATGTATTTAAATTGAGAATCTATTTGCTTGTTATTTCTTCCTCTTCATAGATCTTTTTCATTTGAGAGATAATATGCAAGGGCCACGCGAATTTCAAAATATCTGTGGAGTTCATTCCCAATTGACACAATGAGACAATAGAAATTAAAAAAAGAGACGTGCAGATATTTCTTATTTATGCTGACCTTAGCTAATGTGTTATCTTTTATGTTACAGCACAATCTGAGCTGATTTCCTCTGCAAAAGAAGATAACCCACAGCTCACAGTGGAGGAGTTTTTGGCTATGCATTCGAACTTGGTTAATGCTCATCTAGTAGCCGATTCTTTTTGAAAATCTATCACATTTGATTCTGCAGTTAATGGAGAAGATCCATCAGAAGTTGCACTCAATTTCACGTCAGAGCACCGTAAAAAGGGAACTTCTTGGGTCAATGCTGCATTGGCTACCAATTTGTCATCCTTCACAGTATACAGCGAATAAGGATCCTCAAATTCAGTCGCAACATCAACTCTGGCTCCAAACTCGAAGACAAACCCTGTTCATCACCCCCTATTAGTCGTCAAAAACTCAATGAACGAAAGAGAAGATGATATACCAACTACTTGCAAAGCTTGGTTCCATGATATCTTATAAATCACAAGGCAAATGTCCAGCAGAAACATGTAGTTCACTAAACCAAAGAGCTCTTGAATTATAGTTGATGTACATATAAACCTACAGGGGCGTTGAGGCTAGAAACAATTGACGGAAGGCTTGCATATAGTGAAGTTGGAAGATTTGTTTTTCTCCACCTCGGTTTCTTTAATATTCTCTATGAAAATCAAAAATCGAAAACTCGGCTCCAAATATGTTTGAGCAACATGATTCTTCAATTGTGTGAACTTGGAAATCTGAATGTTCTACGTTGAACATTTTCAATTACTCTACTTGTTTCTTAGGTGAAGCTTCATTTCACAGAAGATGCACTGAGATTGATTGCTAGAAAAGTAGTAACCAAGAATACAGGAGCTGGGGATTTGCGATCCATGTTGGAAAATGTCTAGATGGATTCTATGTATGAGGTTTGTAATTCCTCTCTTGAATTTTATAAAAATCAAGGAATTTTGGATGATGTTATCTCTATGATATCATTAGCTAGTTGAACTTTGTTAAAGGTTGAGAACAAATCTTATGTCTGGAGCATTAATCACGCATATCTAAGAACTAGCATTGATCAACCCAATTTTAATTTAGCGTAGTGTAATCCCAAATTGTCTCTCTTATTTTATTTTCCTCCTTTCCCATCTCGATTTTTCTGCTTGATGGTAAATTATAAATCTATTTCTCACAGATTCCTGATGTTAGAACAAGAGATGATATAATTGATGCTGTTGTAGTAAATGAGGAATCCGTTGGATTTGAAAAACGTGGATGTGGGGCTAAAATCCTTTATGGTAAGGGGGCATTGGACCGCTATCTTTCAAAACACAAGTTAAAGGATTCAGAGGTATAGTAATCTTGCAAAAGACATCTCGATATTTTTCCTTTTTTTCTGTCAAATCAGCTTCTCCATTGGTGCATTTATGTTTATTTTGCATTACAGGCATCTGCAGATGGGTCTGAAAGAAAACCTGAAGTGGAACCTGAACTTGCTTCTATTGTTGCTTTGTGAACTTCCAATGAGGTCCGTGTATGGTCTCAATATGTACAGTATAAATCATAATGACTATATTTTTTAAATTTAGAGTCTAGTTGCAGATTTATTGTATTTAATGTTTCTATTCTAACATTTATCCATTGTCATCTGAAACAGATAATTATCTTGTCTTGATTTCACCAAATGACCTCACTCCAGCAAAAAATATTTATATTGAGAGATGCTAATGCCATAGTAGAGTATTTCCGCTAAAAAAAATCCAAAGTGGAGCCACTTACTAGTGAATCTTTAACCACTGCTGCATTTTCTAGTGTAGTTTCTTACTTCGTTTTGAATGTTAGTTGTTCTATGTTTTTAACGTCGTTTTCTACTTTCTCTTTTAAGAGTGCAAGGTTGATGGATGTGGAATGAGTCGAAACAGTACCCTAGTGTGAGTTGGTTGATGTTGACAAGGAAAGTTTGCCAGTGGTTGGCAGCAGCCACTAGTGGTGTAGCCGAGCAGGGTCGGTATTTATATCTTCAGTCTTTGGCTACTGGTAAAGTTACAAGCAGAAGCTCAGCTGGTGTGTATATCAAATCATTGGCTTATTTAAGGGATCAAGATGATGCTATTGAGGATGAAGAGAATAACTTTGGTGAGAATCAGCGTATATCTAATTCACGGGAATAAAGAGTCATGTTTATTATGTGCATAACAATAGATATAGAGCTTGTTTGCTCTACTCATTTTAACTTTAGATGTAATCATACTTGGTGAACGCCATTTACTCTTGTGTTGATAAAATATTTTGGATTCAATGTTGATTGACATTATGTTTTAATTGATTTATTATGATTTTTGTATCGCTATATTATTTTGAATGGGGTTAAAAAAAATTAGTATAATATAAATAAAAAATATAGAAATAGTTCAATTTCTCCCTATAATTTTTCTTTTTGTTAACCTATACAAATATTCTTTCCTTGCTAAAAATTATTTGCAGAAAAACAGGGTTTAGCCCACAAAATAATTTGTTCCATGTTGTCACAAACTTTTAATTGTAGAGAAAAATGTATATCTTCATCCACAAATAAATTTTTCACACAAAATATTATTTGTGGGGACAAACATGATTTAGCCTAAGACATAATTTGTAGGGACAAGTGAAATTGCTTCGTAGATAAAAGTAACTTTAGCAGAGAAAATACTTTGTCGGGAGAAAACTTACACAACGAATTGTATTCGTCTCCAAAGGATTCGTAGGGAAAAACTTTAGCCCACAAATTTCGAAAAATTTGTCGTCTTATACATATCCCCTTGATGTTTGCCCCACAAACGTGCCTACAAAACTTTTCGTTTGCAATTTTTTTTCCTACAAATAAGACATTTCCTTACAAATAATTTTTGTAGGGAAAACATAAAATTCTTGCAGTGTGTGCGGACCTCTTGATTACGCAAAATATGGAATCTCACCCGATTGATTTGAACGCCATAAGATTGAATCTTGATAAGTTTGATAAAATTGTCCCATCCAAAACAACAATTTTGAAGCAAAGCTTCCAGAGAAAATTCTCTAAATTTTCATAATAAAAGTCTTGAGTACAATGAAGAAATAAATCCTATTTATACTAAAACTAGGAAACTAATTAAAATTTGAAAAGACTCCTAAAATATGGAAAACACGAAATTAAGACTCCTAGAATAAAGAAAATTACCAAAAGTAAAGAATCCTAGCTAAATTAAAATACTCAAAAAGGAAAGAATCTTTCCCGAAATATCTCTATGCGTTAAATTAATGGAAATTTCTACCCCTCTTGGATCACATCAATTTCATTCATTTTAAAACTAGTTCTAGGTTTTCACTATAAATAAGATTTATGTTCTACATTGTATTACAAGACTTTTATCATGAAATATTGAATGAGAATTTTCTCTCTAGAAGCCATTGCTTAAACTATGTTTGTTCTTCAATGGGCAAATCGAACTTATCAAGAAAGTGATTTCTTGTGGTGTTCAAATATCAAGTTGAATAATTGAATTGTATAATCAAGAGGTCTTTCAAGCATCGTTCTTGCAAGGTTTTTTGGTTCATCTTTTATTGGTTCAAATCCACAATCCGAGTATAATTTCGAGGCCTCGTGATCACGAGGTCGTGGGTTTCATATACCTCCGGTTACTTGTTTCATCGATTAGAGATTAAATCTTAAACCTTAGTTGTATTTGGGCGCTCTTGGGATCCGATTCAATATCTTGGGGGTTCGATTGCAACCTTACTGATCGGGTTCGTATCATTTGGTGTCAGAGCTTTAGGCACCAAGATCAAGGTTATATCCCTTTTTTTAATTTTTGATGAGTCAGTTGTTATTGTTCTTTGAGCCAGTCAGTAGTTTAAAGTCTTTAATCCAAAAAAGTTATAAAAAAATTTCAAAATTTGTTTTTTTTATTCAATTTGCATCCAAATCAATTTCTGTTTGTTGCGTCAGAGTCATAGTTGAATTTTCTATCCAAAGAGTAAAAAAAAAAAAAAAAAAGAAAAATTTTTTTTCTACCGTTCATCCATACGGAATCCAAAAAAAAAAAAAAAAATTTGTAACACCCCGAAAATTTAAAAAAAAACATATATTTGTTTTATATGTTATATTTTTATATTCCAAAAATTTGAGAATTTCAATGAAATAGATTTTAAATTCATATTTTACTTTAGCCAAATAATTAAAATTTGGTAGAGTGAGTATAAGAATACTGATATTGGACTCATTTTGTAGCTCGCATTCAATAACGTATTTTCGACTCAAGAAAATGTAAGTTCTTTTAAAGTTAATTACAAGTTATTTCTGTTCAAAGATACGTTTGTAACAAGTATTACTTCATTATTTAATTAGGAAAAAGAAAGTAATATTTTATATATAATCAATGTTTGTCTTTTAAACTTTTTTTTAAAAGAGAGATTTGATTATCTTAACTATTATCTATCATTCCATTTTACTGTGCACGTAATCTGAATTGTTTACAAGGTGATATACATATATAAAGGTTGAACCCCAACCTTGAGGGCCCCGTCCTGCTCCGCCCCGCCCCTTCCCAAGAGCTTTGTGAGGGAGGTAAATCGCGGGATATGCCTCAACAGATTAGGGAACAAGAGTTGTCTGTACACTGCGTCTACAAGAAGTCCAATTTCATGTCTCAGGAATCGAACCCTAACACTGCGGCTGCCAGCAAGGGGTGGAATAATCTCATTCCTGTCCTTTGCACTACTAGGCTATGTCCCAAGAGGCGTTGTGATATACATATATATCTCTAAGCGAGAGAGAGAGAGTGGGAAGAGATTTAGTTGACTATGAGTTGATTGATGGATAGATAAAGTGGCTTTCCGTTATTTTTAGAAGAATATGTACTTTCTGGGAATAATAGTACAGAATGAATTGCACAGAATCCTTACAGAATTTCAAACTTCGGCGACGTGTCAGGCGCAAGGAAAGGGAATGACTGTTGGCTTGAAAAAAATATTATAATAAATTCATTAATTTACTTGTATTTTTGCCTTAGTTTTCGGCCTCATATAGGATATCAAATAAAGTCGAAATATTACATTCTTAGTATTATTTTGAAGTACTCATGGCCTACTATTTTATGTCATTAACGGTGCGCGAAACGGTCAATCGTAGCACATGTTACGGCGCGTCAAAGTAGGCCGTTCAAAACTAGTATTTCGAAAATTTCGATAACAAGCTAACTTTAAAAAATCTTCGACGATTGTACGCTAGTCGAATCCATAAATCTTCTATATCTTTTCGAAGCTCATTTCGAGAATTATATCGTAGACATATCGAATGATATTCATGAATATAAAAAATAGTTAAACGTGAGTCAAACGTGTGTGTCAAAAAGAGACGCATAACTTTTTTTTTTTTTAGAATCAATCATTTTATTAAAAATTCTTCTGTGGTTTGACGAAAAAAATTGACTTAAAAACTCCTAATAAAATTTTTATTATTTTATATGGATTATAAATTATTATACTATTTTTTCATCTTGATTTTTTTTATTCGAAAAATTTATATATATATGTAAACGATTATTTTTAATAATTAAGCTACACATACATAACATGCTTCCTAATAATTTATTTTTTTTATGTAAGTAAATTTTTAATAATTTCCTAAATGATCCAGAGATGACATTTTACATTAATGTAAAAAATTTGACATTAATGTTTAAAGAGATGTCATTTAAAAAATTTAAAAGTTTATTAGGAAAATTTTTAAGTGACATAAAAAATTTTATTAGATTATTTAAAATAATTAGAGTTAAAATAATTGATTTTTTGGTAGAAAAATTATTTTGGTGTACTAAAATTAATTTTTAAATAAGTCGAGTTAAAATAAGTTGAGAATTGAACGACCTATTTTGGTATAAAATAAATTAAAATAAAATGATTATTTTTAAAAAAAAAATAATTCGAGTTATACGTCTTTTTTTACACTCACGTTTGACGTTCGTTTAACTATTTTTGATACAATAATGCTAGACGTACAGAATGAATTGCACAGAATCCTTACAGAATTTCAAACTTCGGCGACGTGTCAGGCGCAAGGAAAGGGAATGACTGTTGGCTTGAAAAATATATTATAATAAATTCATTAAATTACTTGTATTTTTGCCTTAGTTTTCGGCCTCATACGGGGTATCAAATAAAGTCGAAATATTACATTCTTAGTATTATTTTGAAATACTCATGGCCTAATTATTTATGTCATTAACGGTGTGCGAAACGGTCAATCGTAGCACATGTTACGGCACGTCAAAGTAGGCCGTTCCAAATTAATATTTCGAGAATTTTGATAACAAGCTAACTTTAAAAAAATTTCGATGATTGTACGCTAATCGAATCCATAAATCTTCTATATCTTCTCAAAACTCATTTCGAGAACTATATCATAGACATATCAAATGATCTAAATGAATATCAAAAATAGTTAAACGAACATCAAACGTGAGTGTAAAAAAAGACGTATAACTCGAATTATTTTTTTTAAAAAAATAACCATTTTATATTAATTTATTTTATACCAAAATAGGTCGTTCAATTCTCGACTTATTTTAACTCGACTCATTTAAAAATTAATTTTAGTACACCAAAATAATTTTTCTACCAAAAAATCAATTTTTTTAACTCCAATTATTTTAAATAATCTAATAAAATTTTTTATGTCACTTAAAAAGTTTCCTAATAAACTTTTAAATTTTTTAAATGACATCTCTTTAAACATTAATGTTTTACATTAATGTAAAATGTCGTCTCTGGATCATTTAGGAAATTATTGAAAATTTACTTACATAAAAAAAATAAATTATTAGGAAGCATGTTATGTATGTGTAGCTTAATTATTAAAAATAATCGTTTACATATATATATAAGTTTTTCGAATAAAAAAAATCAAGATGAAAATAATAAAAATTTTATTAGGAGTTTTTATGTCAATTTTTTTCGTCAAACCACATAAAAATTTTTAATAAAATGATTGATTCTAAAAAAAAAAAAAAAAAAAAGTTAAATTCCTTTTTTTAACCAACAAATTTTCGAAATACTAGTTTTGAACAGCCTACTTTGACGCGCCGTAACATGTGCTACGATTGGCCGTTTCGCGCACCGTTAATGATATAAAATAGTAGGCCATGAGTACTTCAAAATAATACTAAGAATGTAATATTTCGACTTTATTCGATATCCCGTATGAGGCCGAAAACTAAAGCAAAAATACAAGTAATTTAATGAATTTATTATAATATTTTTTTCAAGCCAACAGTCATTCCCTGTCCTTGCGCCTGACACGTCGCCGA